GTGATGGAGGTGTGTGTGTGTGATGGAAGGGTTGTGTGTGTGTGTGTGCGTGTGTGTGTGATGGAGGTGTGTGTGTGAGATGGAGGTGTGTGTGTGTGATGGAAGGGTGTGTGTGTGTGTGTGTGTGTGATGGAGTGGTGTGTGTGTGTGACATGGAGGGGTGTGTGTGTGTGATGGAGGGGTGTGTGTGTGTGTGATGGATGTGTGTATGTGTGATGGAGGTATGTGTGAGATGGAGGTGTGTGTGTGTGTGATGGAGGGGTGTGTGTGTATGTGATGGAGGTATGTGTGAGATGGAGGTGTGTGTGTGAGATGGAGGTGTGTGTGAGATGGAGGTGTGTGTGTGTGTGTGTGTGTTGTGATGGAGGGGTGTGTGTGTGTGAGATGGAGGTGTGTGTGTGAGATGGAGGTGTGTGTGTGAGATGGAGGTGTGTGCATGCGTGTGTTATGGAGGGGTGTGTGTGTGTGTGTGTTGTGATGGAGGTGTGTGTGTGAGATGGAGGTGTGTGTGTGAGATGGAGGTGTGTGTGTGAGATGGAGGTGTGTGTATGTGATGGAGGTATGTGTGAGATGGAGGTGTGTGTGTGAGATGGAGGTGTGTGCATGTGTGTGTTATGGAGGGGTGTGTGTGTGTGTGTGTTGTGATGGAGGTGTGTGTGTGATGGAGGTGTGTGTGTGAGATGGAGGTGTGTGTGTGTGTGATGGAGGTGTGTATGTGTGATGGAGGTGTGTGTGTGAGATGGAGGTGTGTGTGTGTGAGATGGAGGTGTGTGTGTGAGATGGAGGTGTGTGTGTGAGATGGAGGTGTGTGTGTGTGTGTGTGTGTGTTGTGATGGAGGTGTGTCTGGAGCAGGAAGGGCTGGAGGAGTGTCAGGATCACAGCTTTTACTTTGGGGAGAAGGCACAATCTGGGGCCCGCAGGCAAGGTTTCCTCTGTGTCTCCCTAGTGCCTCAGAGGCTCAGGAAGAACTGGCCCACAGCTGACTCCTAAATATATCCTTTGGGTTTGGTGTAAATTCCTGCTCCCTGATCCTCCGGCAGCTGGGCAGCTCTGTCTGCGGAGAGCCCACAGTTGGCCCTGAGGGCACAAGGGGCCCGGGAGGGGCGCCCGGCCTGAGCCGCAGGCGGGCGCAGAGCACAGAGCGGCGCAGGCGCTTTCCATGAGGGACCCTGGTCACCGGGTCACAGGATGTGTGTCTGCGCCCGGACACTGGGGCGCGCCCGGGCCGCCCCTGACAGTCAGGGGTGAGAGCTGGGCCCGGCGCTGACTGCCCGGGGGCCTCTGCTCAGGGCGCCCAGCTGTGACCGCCCACCCACGGGCGGCCCACAGCCTGCCCCTACCCACGCCCGGGCTTCCCTCAGACACAGGGACCTGACCCAGGGCCCAGGGAGGGTCAGAGAGCTGGGGGTTGGGGAGGGGCGGGTGATCTGCGTGAAAGGAGCCTCCCCTCTCTGAGTATGAAGAGGGAAGGAGCGGCGTGGGGACGCGCTGCTCAGCTGTGGGGCCACAGACGGCAGGACGCCCTGACCGTGTCCACCACGGCCGGGTCCCCTCTGCTCCTCACCCTGGCCGCTCTCTGCTCAGGTGACTGGATGGGGGGACAGGGGAAGGGCCCTGGGAAGACACACGGGCCCTGCTCCCTGCTCTCGTGTCTGGACCCCAGAGTCACCATCTCTGTCTCTCCCCCTTCCAGGATCCTGGGCACAGGCTGTGCTGACTCAGCCGCCCTCCGTGTCTGGGTCCCCGGGCCAGAGGGTCACCATCTCCTGCTCTGGAAGCAGCAGCAGCATCAGGCGTGGTTATGGTAGCTGGTACCAACTGATCCCAGGATCGGGCCCCAGAACCCTCATCTATGGTGAAACCAGTCGAGCCTCAGGGGTCCCCGACCGATTCTCCGGCTCCAGGTCTGGGAACACAGCCACCCTGACCATCAGTTCGCTGCAGGCTGAGGACGAGGCAGATTATTACTGTGCAGCTTATGACACTAGCAGCAATGATGGCACAGTGGTCCAGGCCAGGGGGGAAGTGAGACAAAAACCTGCTCTCCTCCAGACATGGGCCTCCCGGAGCTGAAGAATCTTGTGCCAATGCAGACACTTCTGTTGTTTCTTTGATTTAAAACTGGGGTCTGAGCCCCACACCTGGAACTGGGTCCTGGAAATCTGTTCAGATCATCTTAATTCTGCCCTGACACCAAGGCTTTTCTATGGCAACCACATAGTGTTTGATTGTCTAAAATTGAGTGCAAAGTCCTGAATGCCTGAGGCCCTGGCGTCAGAGTCCATGATGGTTCAGGTCAGAATCAGAGAAACAGAGTGGAGCTGGGTCTGATTCAGGAGGCATCATTGTCCAGTACGTGTCCTGGTCCCAACAGCTCTCCTCTCTGATGCTAGTCGTGGACCCTTGGGGATCCCTGCTCCGTTTCCTGGTCTCAAGGCTAGCACTGGGGCTCCTTGGCCATCACGGGGCTGAGCGGAGGCCCAGGCTGCTGCTCCTGCCTTTCCTGTGACCGCCTCTCAGGCTCACCCAGAGGTCCAGGCCTGCGGGAACTAGACCAGAACTCCTTTCCCTCTGGGGAGATGGGGTCGCCCAGCGATTCCTGCTCAGGCTCTGGCTGGACCTGCTGCTTCTACTGTTGCCCCACCCTGCGTCCAGGTCATCGGGGGGTCTGCCTGTGCCTGGAGGCTCCTCCTCTCCCCTCTGTCCTCAAAGTCCCTCCAGCGGCCTGTTCCCAGGAGAGGGTCTCACAGGAAAGAGAAAAGCTGTCTCCCCATCACTGGGGACATGCGGTGTGTCTGTTCTGATCTCAGGGTCCGAGGTGGGGGATCTGTCTGAGGGTATTTCAGACCTGGGTAGCCCCCACTCTACCCCTCAGCCCTCTCTTCTGCCCAGGGAGCAGGTCTTGTTCTCTGCTTTCTCTGTCCTCTCAGGGCGTCCAGGGAAATGTCAGGGTGGCCTCAGTCACGGTCAGTGACTCTGTCCATGGACAGTGAGCCACACTCACCCGCACTGGGCACAGCAACAGTGTAGGCGCCAAGGGGGCAGCTTGGCTGCAGCAACAACTGGGCGGGGTCCACAGACTCCTGATCACAGGAGTCACAACCAGCCCGCAGGGTCTCAGAGAGGCTCTAGGGCGATCAGCTCCAGGACGAAGCTGATTGTTCTTGCTCAGGTGGGAGGGCAGTCCAGCTGCAAACCTGGGGCTACAGGCCAGGGGGAAGACAGCCCCGAGCCCTGAACTCCAGGCCTCAGCCCACGTGAGGTCACCGAACACCGCCTGTCACCACGTGTGTGTCCTTCTGCTGCCTGTCAGTGTCCTTTCACACACACGTGCAGGGTCTGCACAGCAGGCAGGGCTGGACCGTGGGGTCACAGTTAACAGAGATGCACACTGTGGAGTATGGTCGGTTTCCATGGAGACAAGAGTCCCAGTGTGAGAGCATCTCTGTGCCCAGGGAGGACCTAGAAATGCCCCTCGGCCCGCTCTCCTGGGCGTGCCATCTGCCAGCCTGCTGTACAGTGGACAGCCTCCTGGGGGCTGGGGCATCCCAGAGGATGGAGGCGGGGCCCGTGGCCTGCGGGGAAGGAGTTTAGTGATTTTCCAAATGTGAAGAGATGCAAGCACTGGGATCATGAAATCAGTTCCTGAAAATACCTAGCTACCCAAAGACCTGTTCCACTGGCTTCCCTGGAGCACAGAGTGCCTCACTCTCCACCCTGAACTCCTTACATGCAGTGTCGAAGGGTAGCAGGTGCAGCTGCATCGGCAGTTGGCTAATGCCCTAGTTGTTGTTTTCAGTAATTAGCAATTATGTGTTTGTAGAAAGTGCCAGCTTGTAGTTGACAATAATATTGTCTGTTTTCCTCCTCTTATTTAAAATTTAATTAATTTATTTGTGTATTAATGACTGGGCTGGGTCTTCATTGCTCTCCAGCTTTCTCTGGTGGCAGGGAGCTGTAGCTACTCTTCTTTCAGTATGCAGCCTTTCATTGAGGTGGCTTCTCTCGATGCAGAGCGCAGGCTCCAGGTGAGCGACCTTCAGTAGCTGGGGCTCTGGGACTTAGTCATTCCGTGAAATGTGGACTCTTTCCAGACCAGGTACTGAACCCATGTCTCCACCACTGGCGAGTAGAACCTTAAACACTGGACCACAAGGGAAGTCCTGTAAATTTCCCTTTTATGTGTTTTATGTATGAGTTGTATGTATAACACTTTAACTACTTCCTCAAAGAACCACAAATTTTTCATGTTTTTCAATGTTAAAAAAATATGTAGACAAAAAAATCAGTGGGAAGCAAGTAATTGCTGAAGTATGTTACATATGGTAAGTAAGAATACATTGTGTCTTCTTGTGGAATAATTTCATGATAAAATTTTATTTTTTTCCTAAGCATTTCAGCCCGTTCTTAAATCTTTTCTCTACTAGAGCCAGTGCTATACTTGTTCAGAGAAGTATGAATGTCATCCCCCTTTTCTGCAAGCTCTCTCTCACATGTTACCAGTAGGGGAAGCGCTGGGAGCGCCCTGGGGCCCCCACACAGCTGCTCAGGAAGCACCCCTCACTCCAGGAGCTGGCCTAGGGGCCTGTGCTCCTGAGGGGGACTCAGCGGTGCGTCCTCTCTGGCTGCAGAGACCCCTGAGCAGGGACCTCAGTGGTCTCAGCAGGGGCTTCCTCCCAGGGGCTCCCTAGTCTGGGCTGTGAGCTGAGCTCCAGCACCAGGGCTCAAGGAGGGGCTGGGTGGGCCCTGGGTGGAGCCCTGTTTGCTTGGCAGCCCCTTCTCTGGCAGAGGCTGGGGGAGAACAGGAGGCTGCGTCTCCCAGCCTGTGCTGACTCAGCCCGCCTCCCTACTGCGTCTCCAGGAGCATCAGCCAGACTCTCCTGCACCCTGAGGAGTGGTTCCAATGCTGGGGATTTCTCCTTATCTTGGTTCCAGCAGAAGTCAGGAGGCCCTCCATAGCACCTCCTGAGGGTCAAGTCGGACTCCCATAAGAACCAAGGTTCTGGAGTCCCCAGCAGATTCTCTGGATCCAAAGACGCCTCAGCCAACGCAGCGCTCCTGCTCCTCTCTGGGCTGCAGCCCGAGGCCGAGGCCGACTATGTGCTGCGGGGCACGGCGGCACTAATGCTTACATGGCGCTTCAGACCAGGGAGGAAGTGAGAGGAAAACCTCCACTCACGCCTGCTCGTGGCTTGGAGGAAGTCTAGCTCAGGCGGTGACTTCAATTGTCAGATGTCAGACAAGGAACTTATTTTCCTCCAACCAGCAGATTTGAGAATATTGTATCTTTTGCTTCAATTCAGCTTTTAGATTGCTAAAATACTCTCATTCAATGCAGTTTTCTTGGACACACGTAGCTTGTTAAGACAGAAACCTTTCAGTGCAGAACATGGTTGAGCCCAGAAGAGGTGGTTTCAGGCCAGGCCCAAATCAGGGTCAAGGGGTCGATAAGACAGGCTTCTGTGAGTGTTTCACTTGGGATTTTGTGATATAAAAGTCAAATGCAGAAATAAATTGTATTTTGTAGTTCAGTAATGAACCATCATGAGAAACGCTGGGCTGGATGAAGCAGAAGCCAGAATCAAGATTGCCAGGAGAAACATCAATAACCTCAGATATCAGATGACACCACTCTTATGTCAGAAAGTGAAGAAGAACTAAAGAGCCTCTTGGTGAAAGTGAAAGAGGAGAGTGAAAAAGTTGGCTTAAAGCTCAACATTCAGAAAACTAAGATCATGGCATCCAGTCCCATCACTTCATGGCAAATGGGTGGAGAAAGAGTGGAAACAGTGGCAAACTTCATTTTTGGGGGCTCCGAAATCACTTCAGATGGTGACTACAGCCCTGAAACTAAAAGACATTTACTCCTTGGAAGAAAAGGTATGATCAACCTAGACAGCATATTAAAAAGCAGAGACATTGCTTTGCCAACAAAGGTCCACCTAGTCAAGGCTATGGTTTTTCCAGTAGTCATGTATGGATGTGAGAGTTGAACTATAAAGAAAGCTGAGCATTGATGAATTGATGGTTTTGAACTGTGGTGTTGGAGAAGACTCTTGAGAGTTCCTTGGACAGCAAGGAGGTCCAACCAGTCCATCCTGAAGGAGATCAGTCCTGAATATTCATTGGAAGGACTGATGTTGAGGCTGAACCTCCAATACTTTGGCCATCTTATGTGAAGAGCAGACTCATTTGAAAAGAGCCTGATGCTGGGAAAGATTGAAGGCAGGAGGAGAAAGGGACGACAGAGGATGAACTGGTAGGATGGCATCACCGACTCAATGGGCATGAGTTTGAGTATGCTCTGCGAGTTGCTGATGGACAGGAAGGCCTGGTGTGCTACAGTCCATGGCGTTGCAAAGAGTCAGACACGACTGAACTGAACTGAATGAATCTCCAGTTTCTAAAAATAAAACACTAACGTGTATGATACAATCAATGTAAAACACTCTAAGATAAATCTGAGGAAGACCAGAAGTCCGTGCGCTGAAAATGACAAGCATGCAAGAGAAACCACAGACACAGTGAGCAGATACCCCAGGCTTTAGTTCCAAACACTGTGTCACTGAGATACAGTCACTGAACAGAGCACAGCATTGGAATGCAGCTTGCTGCTCTTCAGTCACGAAGTCAGGTCTGACTCTGTGTGACCCCATGCACTGCAGCACGCCGGGCTTTCTGTCCCTCACCATCTCCTGGTGTTTGCCCAAGTTCAAGTCCATTGAGTCGGTGGTGCCATCCAACCATCTCATCCTCTGTCATCCCCTTCTCCTCCTGCCCTCAGTCTTTCCCAGCATCAAGGTCTTTTCCAATGAGGCGGCTGTTCGCATAGGTGGCCAAAGTATTGCAGCCTCAGCTTTAGCATTGTCCTTTCAGGAGTATTTAAGGTTGATTTCCTTAAAGATTGACTGCTTTGTTCTCCTTGCTGGCCAAGGGGCTCTCAAGAGTCTTCTCCAACACCACAGTATCGCTGGAAAGCAGCTATACTCCAATAATCAAAAGATAACAATCATTTCCAAATGGATCACAATTCTCCCTGCAAACACGGTCATCACCTGCCATGAAGCACAAGGGAGGAAGTTCTAGCAAAGAAATAGAAACTGTGAGAAAAGACGTAGAGGAAAAAACAGCCCTGGAACCATCCTGCTCTAGTCCTAGATAAGCTGATATGCCTGAGAAGGGGAGGTGCAGCAAGAGGTTCTTGAACTCCAGGAGTGCGGGAGTTCTGAGATTCCCCTGCAGTGGGCACCTGGGGTCACCTCTCCACCAAGAGTGCCTTTGTGACCCGCAACCTGTTGGTGAGAATTATGACTCGGGTGCTCTAACAGAAGAGGGTGTCAGTGTGATTTCAGGGATCCTGAAATTCAAGGTGGCATTTCCAAGGCTTAAAATGGAACCTACACCCGTAAACTCTGAATAGAGAAAACAAGGACCACCCCCCACCAAACCCCCCACCAATCACACACACACTCATAGATTTTCTCCACAGCTGCTTGGCTGGTCCCAGAAAGTGAAGATGCCCTGAAACATACAGGGTGCTGACAGCCTGGTCTAGTGAGGGGCATGCATGCACCGGGTGGAGGAATGTTTTTCCCAGACCTTCACTTCCATGTAAGTGTGGCAAATCAATAATAGAAGTTTAAAAATATGTGAAAATATTTTGAAATGAAGAATTAATATGAGAATAATTATGCTGAAAATCAATGAGAATGAATATAAACATCTTCAAGTTCACAATTATTAAAAGTACTATAGAATTTTAAAATTATATAAGTGAAAATCACTACAGATGGTGCTTGCAGCCATGAAATTAAAAGACGCTTACTCCTTGGAAGGAAATTTATGACCAACCTAGATAGCATATTAAAAAACAAAGATGTTACTTTGCTAACAAAGGTCCATCTAGTCAAGGCTATGGTTTTTCCAGTGGTCATGTATGGATGTGAGAGTTGGACTGTGAAGGAAGCTGAGTGCAGATGAATTGATGGTTTTGAACTGTGCTGTTGGAGAAGACTCCTGAGAGTTCCTTGGACAGCAAGGAGACCCAACCAGTCCATCCTAAAGGAGATCAGTCCTGGGTGTTCATTGGAAGGACTGATGCTGAAGCTGAAACTCCAATCCTTTGGCCACCTGATGCGAAGAGCTGACTCACTGAAAGAGACCCTGGTGCTTGGAAAGATTGAGGGCAGGAGGAAAAGGGGACGACAGAGGATGAGATGGCTGGATGGCATCACCAACTCGATGGACATGACTTTGGGTAAACTCCGGGAGATGGTTGATGGACAGGGAGGCCTGGTGTGCTGTGATTCATGGGGTCGCAAAGAGTTGGACACAACTGAGGGACTGAACTGAACTGAAAAGGAGTTCAGAGTGTGTGTTACAGATGTACAGAACAGAATTTTGGACTCTGTGGGAGAAGGCGAGGGTGAGATGTTTTGGGAGAACAGCATCGAAACATGTATATTATCAAGCATGAAACAGATCACCAGCCCAGGTTGGATGCATGAGACAAGTGCTCAGGGCTGGTGCCCTGGGAAGACCCAGAAGGATGGGGTGGGGAGGGAGGATGGAGTGGGGATCAGGATGGGGAATACATGTAAATCCATGGCTGATTCATGTCAATGTATGGCAAAAACCACTACAATATTGTAAAGTAATTAGCCTCCAACTAATAAAAACAATTTAAAAAAGTGTATGTTAATCTGTTTCCAGCTGTAGAATTAAAAGCATAAACTTTGACCATATTTGTATGGCAACGATAAACTTTCAGTAGAAATACAAAAGAAAATTTGAACAGGTGTGAAATGTTTTCTTCCAGGAAGGCACTGAGTAGCCAGATAGTGCAAGCCCTTCATTATTTATAGTGCTGCTTCCCTATACCTGCTTTCCGTTGAGAAGGAGGAGGGGATATGAGCAGAGGGGATGGGGCAGAGCCCTTAGATTTCTGACATCTGGAAGGATGCTGGTTCCTGACACCACAGAAGGGTCACTCTGCCTGCTCAGAGTCAGGCTCTGCAGCAGTGACGTGCCACCTGTCCCCTCCCCGCTGAGCACAGAGTCCTGAGCACAGTTTGCGCTGCGTCAGCCGGGCCCACTGTCCAGTTCAGTGCTCAGGTCCTCCAGTCCTGGAAAGAGCAGCAGAGCTGGCGGTGTGAGGTGTCTGGGAACCAACAGGTACCAGCCAGAGACGCCAAACCATGATGCCTGATTGTCCCCAACCCTCAGGATCTGCGATTTGTCCTTTGGTTACAGACACGGTCACTCAGGTTCCGTGACGACTGTCATAATAAGTCTACTCCCAATTGTTCAGTCAGTTTTGTTGAAGTCTCAGAAAATGTAAACAGATTCTGACACCAGTGAAGTGCACCCCGATCATCCGTGTGATCAAGAGAGCCGTGGAGCTGAGCTCCCTCAGCTGAGATCAGGAGCACGAGGCTTTCCCAGATGCGTCTTCAGCAGAGTCCGTGGGCCATCCCAGCAGGCCCACCATCCCCCAGGGTGTGAACTCCACTCCTGAAGGGTCAGAGCAGAGACCCTGAGCAGTGAGGGGCACTGGTGATACATCGCAGGATGCAGGGAACCCCGGGAGTGTTCTCCTGAGCCCACAGGTGCTGGCTCTGTCCTCCCCTCCCCTCCTCTTGTCTCCACCCCATTGGAGCATTTCTTATTGCAGAGTTGGGGTGGTCTCTGGACTGTCAGGATCAGGGGCTTCCCAGGATGTGCGCGTGTCCCTCTGCCTGTGATGCCCCTGATGAGCAGAGATCCGAGGGCACCATCTCCTGCAGAGGGAGCATCAGGGACACGGGGATCACCATGGCAATGATGACAAGGGATTCCAGGCAAAGCCCTGCCTTTGTGACCAGGACAGAGGTGAGTAACACTGAGAGGTTTGGCCCTGTTCTCTGGCTCCTACTGGGCCCACATGCCCTCCTAATCACTTTGGACCCCGTCCTGATGAGGAGGCTGGTGCTCAGTGTCACACAGCTCACCAATAACCACAGCCACAAGGAATTCCTCTGTGATGGGGATGTCTGATCAAAGTTTGCCCTCTACTCCAGGGTGGGACCCATCACTGCCCTGAGCCTGACGGTGACATCAGC